TATAATTTAAAAAAAAAAATCATTATATTTATTATTAGTTACCAACTATTTTTTTTTTTTTTTTATCGATAGTTAGTTTAAAGGATTATGTTAATTAAATTTTAAAAACTTTTAAGATTTTGCATTAAATATATATAATATTATTTTTTCTGCAATACATTGAAATGTATATAAAGACACTAGTATTAAATTTTATATATTATTTCCATAATTCCAAAGGGTAAATTTTATAATACCATATATTACTATTGCATCAAAAACCCCTTGTGTTAAATTAAATTACACTCAAAACAATGTCATTGTCCAAAATCGATGTTTGCTTGTAAATTTCCACCTAATTATGCAAGTTTTATATAAATAAAAATGTCAAATATCTAAAATAGTATTTTTTTTAATAAAAAATAATGAATTGTTGATGGATTTTTTTTTTATAGTTTTTTTTTATTTGTAAAATTTAATAACAATTTGTTTCCAAAAAATTACTAAATGTGTAACACACTGGTCGGCTCAAGTCAGAGTATTACCGCTATGCCACACTGGAAGACTTGTTTATTAACTAACAAACCTTACGTTGTAGCACTAAGGCTAAATACCCAACATAAGCATCTAAATAGAGACTTATAAATAAAATGGACCGGCTTATCATATAAAAAGATGATATAGTTCTATTTTCCCCAATGGATCATGCGACATGGATGTATCATTTAAGCTTAATGGGAGTACCATCACCTCAAAAAATCGTAGAAAGAGAATTAACGCGACAATTGAGTAAGCACAATGAATGAAAGCTAAATTAATACGTTATATGCCAAGACTCACATGTCAATATCAAAAAATAATTTCAAAAGATAGATTAAATGAAATTGCAAAAAACACATAATGACAACTCACACACACAAGTCTTTTAGTTTCTCCTTTATATCTTTCGGTTATTCTCACCTAATTGTGATGAACACATCACAAAGAAAACTCCATTAGGTCTCAAGTAGGGCTGAATCAACCCGGTTTACATACCTTATTGCTTCGTCCAACACGTCACACAAATACACATTGCAAATATAGGTTCACAACCCTCAAAGAACTCCACAATTGATACATAAGGGTTAGAGACCCAAAATACATGTATGATAACTTATTTAGAATTTGTGAGGGATGGACAACGATCAAACCATCTAGTCTCATACATAACATAACAAGAGGGGATTGTACACAATTAATCTCTCCATTACATATGATGGTGAAAAGATCATTCCATCGTGAATGACGTGCACCTCGTAATCGCCCAAGACGAAACTCGTCATCTTGATGCCACGACTTAGTCCATTCGGGATCTAGTTTAGTGTTACCTAGTTATTCTAAAATACCGGTATACTATGACGTATTTTCAAGGCACAAAGGTGGAAGACTACATCTTATCATATCATAGGATCAACGATTTAATTTCAATCACTAATGACCCAATATTCATTATACAATTACGCAAATCTTAATAGTTCACCACAAAATATATCATTTTAAAATATTTAAAAACTAGTCAATAAAGGCATCGACTAAGAATCGTGTTTTGCAACATAAGCGAAAACTAAACACATGTTTTCAGGTTTACTCTTAAAACACTTTTCAATTATCAACATTTTCAATTAATAGCTAAACAAGAATGAAAATATTGACATTCAACAAATTCATTGAAAATCTCATATTAATTTGCTAGAAAATCATTTGGACATTATGTCTGTTCAAATAAACATAATCTAACTCAAGTATTATAATATTTAAAGATAATCATAGAATCTTCCAAAAAAAAAATCATAGACTAAGTTAGGACAAAACTAGGTTCAACTTAAAACACCATAATAATCTCATAGGCCCTGAATAACTTTCTAATTAACTTTCTCAATAAAATAGCAAAAGCTAATATGTTTAGAACAAATCTATTTGAAAATAATTTAAAAACTATCACATAAAACTAATAAATAAATTTAAAATATATATCATATTATTTCATTAAGATTCATTTGACTTACCTACCAAGAAGAAGCCAAGAAGAGAAACTTTGATGCAGAAAACTTTCAAAAAAAAGAAGAGAGGGAGTTGAGCCTGGAGCTGCAGAAGAAGGAAGAAAACTGAAACTGAATGTGTCTTGTCTGTCGTTTTTTTTTTTAAAAAAAATAGATATGAATTTATTTTTCTTATTTTATTTATCCTGACTCCAAAATTGTCCAAAATCTAATTTACCCCTAAACTATAATGCAATTTATCTATTTTATACACCAAAGCCCAAAAGAAAATTGTTCAACTCCGTCTCAGATTCCGGCAGGTTCTCACAAATTTCTCGTATTTTATTTTGCAGGGTATTATACTTATAGATTTTTTTTTTTATTAATTATTATCTTCTATTTTGTTATTAATTATTTTACATAATAAATCTATAATATAGTTAAAGTGTTTTTTATTCATATGCATGAATTTATGTTTATTTCTATTTTTTTATTTATATTTATTGTATTTAATAAATCTATTTTATCTCTCTTTTTAAAAATTAATTTGTTATTATTATTCATAGTAATTTCTTATTTTAATTTTAAAAATTATCTATAGTAATTTTTTTTTTTTTTTTATGTTAGGTATCAATTTTGGATTTGAATTTTTTAAATAGTAAAATTTTAATTTGGAATATTTATTTGATGTTCTTATGAAATCAATGGAAAAAACCCCAAAAAAAAATTATTTAATCCATAAATAAGTGAAAAACTAAAGACACACTATTATGTGGTTCTAGGTAAATTTATACATCCAATGATAGAGACTGGAAAGAATTCCACTAATAAAAACGAGTCTCAAATACAATTTGTCCCCGAAAATCAGCATAAATCAATCAAAAGGATAAATCAAGAAAATACCGAATTTCCTTTTTGAAAATTCCAAACAAACAACAGCTTGTCTTAATTGAAACAAATGACGTCAGTGGTTTTATGGTTTCTTTCTTGGATTTCACAGCTGTAATTAATTAAGTTTAATCACGGGTTAATTATTGGGCTTGACAAATATGTTTTATTTCAATCTATAAAATAATAAATCTGCACATTTACTTGAAATTATCAAACTAAAAAAAAAAATCCACAACGCCACCTCCTCCAATGCCCCTTGGGGGACTAACGTACTACATCAACCGATCAAGTTTAAGAAGCGTCTGAATTCGGATACCACCAATAAGTTTATTTTCGTAGTCACTGAATATGCTACAAACGAGCATTGTTTGAATCATGATTTGATGGAAAATTTGTGGAAACTAATGCTGGCTTGAAGTAAATAGAGACTATTTACCAAATTTTCATAATCGAACGAAATAAAATTTTTATTCGAACTATGGCACATATCAAACATTAGTCAATGTACGCACAATACCATCATGCATCTTTATTCAAATATTTCCTATTTCAGCCACCTTACAAACTACATCATTCCCTATAGATATAACTACACCTTCAACTGGATGCTACCCGAAAAACCAATCTATATTACAACACATATGATAGGAGCTATCCGAATTAAGTACCCAACTGTCATTAACTAACCCATTTGATACTGGAAGAAATTTTTCATATTCTATATTTTCCTTGGCAACGCAAACCGAATCCTTAGAGGTTAAGGAGTCGGAAATACTTTTCTTACCTTTTAAGTTTTGGACATTTATCTTTCAAGTGAGCTTCTTCTTTGAAGTAATGACATTAATTCCTACTGACTTTTTTTACCGCAACTATAGCCTAATTTTCTGGTAGTGTCTGTAATTTTATGCAGATCTGTCTTTGTTATTTGTCGAACTCGATCCACCTCGAGCAACAAAACCATAAGTTTGATCATCAGTAAAGTTTTCAGACACCTTCTGCTTTAATTCCTTAGAACTGAACGATGTTTTTACATTTTCTAAGAAAAAAGTGTGACGACTATATAGTATTGTACAAACAAATTTTTCAAACGAACAACGTAAAGAACATAACATACACTACTAAAAAAATGGCTATTTGTTGTAGTTCAATAACCGCCACAAATGGCATTTTTTGGTTACAAAAAGCTATTTGTAATGATTTTGTACCGAATTTTGACCGATGCATATACTCGAGCTACAAAAAGTCTCTGTACCGACTTTTTCCGCAATAGAAAATGGGCAGTCAACGCCTTTATTGTAACAATGTTTGTAACGCTAGCATTGTACTTTCGATTTTTTTGTATCGGCCGTTTATCGTTATAAAACAATCGTTACAATAAATGCTCATCCATTTGTAATGGTTTTTGTTACGGTACTAATTTCGATACAATAGCTGGTTGTCAAAAAACTAGTTAATATTTTTTGTACCAGTATTTGTAACGGCCAATTTTTCGTAACAAAAAAGGTATCCGTATTTTTTCAGTAATAACCTAAAAAAATTGGTATCGGAACCGAAAAACCTGTACGATATGAGAAAATACTGCCAAGTGACATTACAAAATATAAAAATATTACATAAATTCTGTATCACCATCAGTTGTAGCAAGTAGGCACTGTCTAGGAACATAAATATTACGCAATATAGCCTTACATATACGACAAAACATAGCAACAAACACACAAAATATAGCAGAGATAACAAGTTCAACCAACATAAAGGACTTAGTTAGCATCAATCCACAAACAAAAGTCAATCATCATAGAATTGCGTGCCATGCTGCAAAGCCCCATGGAGCGTCAATGTAAACACACACCACAGTTTCAGGCGACGAAAAGCTGTCAAATTGTGCAAAATTATATAAGAATTTATTTGCAATATGGTTAAGTTGTAATCCAATAGAAAGTCTTGTAAATATGGTTGCATACATCTTTGAATGTCCAGTCGATTGGCTCAACGCGGACAACCTCACCAAGTGTTTGTGCTCCATATGTTATCCGTAGAATGAGCGTAGTCTCTGGAACGGTAGCAATTGTGAAAAAAACCCTCACTATGTCAACGGTGTTACCTACGGACATATAAAGAAAACATGTGCATATTATCGGAAAGAAAACAAACCTCATGAAATATTTAATCAATATAAAATATTAAAGATATTAAGTAAAACATTATAGTATTCGTAAGAGAAAAAGTCGGAGATGATTTGCCTAATTTAACCATCCATACAACAACGTAATCAAAATTGTAAAACATAAATCAATATAAGTATAATTATAGCATGGATCCTATCTCGATGACACCCGGACCAACATCTATACAACCCCACAAGTATAAACAACCAACAACGTGCTCAATTTATTTGATACGTGTGAAAGCTGTTTGTTTAAACAACCAACTTAAACATGATCAATTTAAAAAAAAAACAATTAATTGAGTGTTAATGTAGCCAAATACCAAACACATAAATTAGATCAAAAATTAAAGTGGTTCGGGGATAAAATCCTGTCACTCACCGGCCTCTACAAAAATATTTAAATATAGATTTATATGCTACCCAACAAGGTCATACGGGGCAAACAACCACGGTTAGAAATAGAACAAGAACAGTGTGTTCCCCCAATTATCCTTCTCAAACGGATAATTCATCAATAATTTATTTCATCCATAATCCCCCAAAAGTCCTAAGTTAGGGATTTATGGTACGCAATTCCAAATTTAGAGATAGAATAAATGAAAATAAATTTAATTTAAAGACAATAAATTAAAATTAAAGCTAATAAATTAGAAATTAAAATTTGAATTTCGGATAAACTTAACCCACGGAAGGTGGGTTCATGCCCGTCTCCGTCGATGATAAACTTGCAAGGGCTGATCCCCTTGCACCACATCAATTTTATCCCCTTGGAAATAACCTTGTCCTCAAGGTTGAAGTTTGTGAAGTATCCCAAGAAGTCAGGACGGGATATCAAAGTAGCATCATCCAATGATTGTCCACTCCACTTAACCAACAATTGCTCAACAAGGGCCCCATCCTTTTGAACTACTTGTTGCGCTAAAACCTCTGCAGGTTTAAACACCGACTATACAGGCAATTCCGAACATGGCGGTAAATCTCCCTCTACAAGAGTTCGACACAACATTGGGTCCCCCCTTAGCTTCACTTGACCGGTAGTTCCCTTAAAGCTCATGGAAAGTTTTGCCCAATTATGAACAATTTCTCCAAGTGCGGCGAGCCACACAATACCCAAGATAACTTCCACACCCCCTAAGGAAAATACGTAGCAGTCTGCCACCGCCTCACATCCCTGTAGTCCGATGGCTAAATGCCGACACATCCCTTCTGATTCCTTCCGACGACCATCTCCCATTTTGACTCCGAATTTTCCGGTCGATTTTGGGCGCAGCGCCAATCTGTCAATTAAAGAAGAACATATAAAGTTGTGGCTCGCTCCACCGTCGATTAATACGGTTATCTCCGTGCCCTGAACTATGCCCCGTAACCGCATCGTGCGAAGACTAAACATCACCCCAGTCATCGAATACAGTGGCAAGTCCCTCAACTCTCTTGCCTATTCCTCTTCGCCTCCTTCTAGACCGGTCACCTCATAATATTCATACTGGTGGAGAGCTAACTCCTCGTCTTCCTCAGCGATTAATACCCGTAGTTGTTTGAGGGGACAATCATGCCCCGGCGAGAATGGCTTTTTGCAACGAAAACACAATCCTTTTGCACGTAGTTCCTCCAATAACTTGGGTGAAAGTCGGGTGAACCGAGAACGTGCCGTAGACTGTCCAGATGACATTGAGCTCATACCCACAGTCTGGTTTCCAACCCTTGGGCTATTACCACTCATATTGCTCATATTTCCAGAAATTGGACCGCCGCCTGATGATCGGGAAAACCCCCACTAACGGTTTCCAAAGTTACTAACTGTCTGGCTCCCTTGTTTGTCATTTTGCAAACCCAGGTTATCTTCGATGTCCCTGGACAACTCCATCGCGGTCTCCAAATCAGTGGGCCGTAGCAGACGAAGTGAGCCCCGAATTGAACCCTTTAGGCCACTCATAAAATACCCCAAGTAGTGCGCCTCCGACAATCCCGGAACTTGACTTGCCAATTGAACAAAGAGCGATATATACTCATCCACCGTTCCATGTTGCTTCACTTCTGACAGTCACTCGAAACAGTTGCCCTTAAAACGCGTGTCAAACCGCGCCACTAGTGCATGGGTGAATTCCTCCCATGGCAGCCCCGGGTGACGTGTGCGTAGCCATGTCACCCAATATAATGCCGGTCCTTCCATTGCGACCACGCCATTGCTATCTTCCGCTTTGATGATCTGCAGTAAATCTCAAATTGTTGTTCATCCCTCGCCACCCAGCAGATTGGATCATCTCAGGAAAAGGACGGCAACTGCGTTATCATCCTACTGTGTGTCATGCGCTCCCCTTCGCCCCGTGCTCCTGTCGCCCATGCGGCTGTCGCCGCATTGCCACCCGGTTGCGGCATGCCCCCTTGCTGTCCACTGGCTGCGCTCGTCTCATCTTCTGCCACCCCCGGCGCCTTCTCCTGCAGTGGTGTTCCATTCACTGGCTGGACAGCCGGCTGCGGAAGAGATAGTACCGCCGTCAAGGCTGCCAGGGATGCCGCAATATCGGCCAGTTGCGCCGCCTGCACATCCAACTTCAGTCCCTGCGCATCTAACTTCGCATCTTGCGCATCCATCTTTTCTGTGATTTCATTCTGATCTGACTCCAATCTGGTCAGACGTTCCCCGTGCGACACAACCATCCAGACGGAAACGGATCCGGCAGGTCAGAGCAATTGTTAGAAATAGAACAAGAAGAATAGTGTGTTCCCCCAATTATCATTCTCAAACGGATAATTCATCAATAATTTATTTCATCCATAATCCCCCAAAAGTCCTAAGGTAAGGATTTATACTAAGCAATTCCAAATTTAGAAATAGAATAAATGACAATAAATTGAAATTAAAGACAATAATTAAAATTAAATCTAATGAATTAGAAATTGAAATTTGAATTTCAGATAAACTTAACCCACGGAATATGGGTTCATGCCCGTCTCCGTCGATGATAAACTTGCAAGGGTTGATCCCCTTGCACCACATCAACCACCCAATTACAGTTCCACATGAATAGCATTGTCATAATATCATGTATTACTATTTTGACTCACTAATAGCCATAGAAGATGCGTTACTCAAAACAGTTGCAACCAAAACCGATTTCATATAGAGAATATAACTAGGTTGACCAAAAACCTGGGGTAGGATCGGATAGCAACACGCCCTAACCAATAACGCATTTTTCCAAACTACGAGATATGAGAAGAACACGAGACCCGATCTACATGAAAAACGTTATCATATGTCAATCTTATAATCTACATGCATGTTCTCAGGTGGTAGTGATGTATTAGTAGTGGAATTTTTTATCTAAAGGGTGATTCAGTTAAGAAATACAAATAAAATTAGCCACAAAAAATTACTAACTGTCAATGGGTTATGGACATCAGTACCCGGCGTCTCTGACCTTCCATCGGTGCGGTTAGAACATTGCAAGAGAGGTGAGTATGAAACAACATGACTTGCCCGAAATAATACAATGCAAAATTAATTAATACACGAGACATGCATTATTAATACTAACTTGCTCTCGGCCTATATAAAAACGGATAATAGTAGTATTGAACTAAAAATAGGATATCAGCACTATAATTCAAATGTTCATATCATACAAACTATACAAGTAATGTGATATACTATGGATGCATGAATAACTTACTATTATGCAGCAAGCTTGGATCGCCGCTTAGAATTATGCACAAAAGTACGGTGTCCCTCAATGGCGGGTATCACACACCTATTCAATTTCAAAGACGGTCTCATGTTATCCATAATACATATTAGTAGATCGAAGAATCAGCAAAACACTTTATAAAGCAATACCGAGTAACAGAAAATACACAAACAATATTATACATATAAGTGATGATAGTATATTTAGACTGGACTTTTGGTAGTTGTTGTGCTTTATCAGCACGGAATAGGAACTACAGTAGAATGCACCACTATGTTCTTACACACATATATATATATACATATATACAAAAGCTGTTTGAAGAAGAAATCAATTGATGTGGTGGCAGTTGGATTTAGATTTGGAGGTGGTCCCCAAACCTTATATTCCAAGTAATTCTTGTGGTTGATGTACCCAACCCTCCCCATTTGTGGTTGCAATATTAATTCATACAAACAATACACATATATATAAACTTATAAATGTGTTCTTCCTCCACCAACTATATAGTAAATTTTACCTGTAAAAATAAAATTTATGCTATCACGTGGTTCAGGAACAATTTGACATGCCATGAACAAACTTCCCATTTAAACTTATGTTAGAACTAAAAATATTATATCTAGTTGCCTAGTAATGAGTTATACTCTGTTTGTAAATTAAAAATGTCTGAATTATTTCTTTCCGGCAAATGCTATTTGTCAGACCTAAAGTAACGCACAAGAGGAATGGATCTAAGAATCAAGTAGTGTCAAGACGAACCATTTAATTACAAAATCACTCATCATCTATGTAACAATTATAAGCCAGAAATCTAACATTACAAACAAAAATTAAAAAATGAAAATCCTAACTAGTAAAAAAATGCAAAAATAAACAAAATTAAATAAATCCAAACTTACGGGAAAAGCTAGGGTTTGCGTTTGAGGACGTCCGCAGGCAGCAGTGGAGCGCGGTCGACGGTCGAAGACGGTGAGGCGGTGCACTGTTAGGGGTGTAGGCCGGAGGACAGCCGGTCGGTAAAGAAGAACACTAAGAAGAAGACGACGATGACGAAGAAGAAGAAGACGAAGAAGAAGATTACGAACCAGAAGACGAAGGAAGAAGAAGAAGAAAACAAAAGAGAAAGAAGAAGAAGAAGAAATACAAGACGAACAAAGCAAGAAAGAAAGAGGAAAGTAGAGGGGGCTCCGCGATTAATGATTAGGGTTATGTGTAATAGGTTGAGAATTTTATTATTTTTTTTAATGTATATAATACTTTTATTTTTAAATAAATAATTATTCTAATATTAATTTGTATACATTAATATATAAGTATTATGTATCTATTATATATGACAGTATATATATATGTAAATATGATATATTATTTTAGATTTAGTTTGAAATTTAAAATAAAATTATTGTAGTTGTAACAAAAAAATACAGCAAGAAAAGAAAAGATGTTGACCAAATCGAAAATACCATTTGTTACGGTAATATCCGGAATAAAAAATAGCTTTTGTAACAGAAAATTTGTAGCCACTACGATTCGCTACAATAGCCATTTTTTGAGTAATGTTTCAAGATAATTTATCATTTTTGTGGTAGTGAAAGCCTTTTTAATGACATTTAGCCTTTTTCTGAACGTACAAAAAGTACATTTTCTGACAATGGTCAAATCGCTGGAAAGACGCATATTGGTTTGGGTTCAAACTTTGATCCTTCAACATGTCCTGGCTATAGAAAGAGGTTGATTACCTGGAAGTAAAAAGAGCTGGTTGACTGAAAAATAAGTTATGTGCATGCATCTCATTTTGTAAGAAAACAATCTAATAAATAATTAAAAATTGAAAATCGAAAGAAGACAAATAAAAAATAGGGCAAGAGGGAAAGAAGAAATACAACAGACCATACTCATGTTCTTTTAAATAATTACATGCATTTTCTTTGAATTCAATTGGCTTATTTACTTAAATTAACAATATATAAATTTCTACACTTATATTTTATTTTGATTTCGCATTTAATAAACACCTTCTAGATTTCATATAAATATATATGTGCATAAACCAATTGATATTTTCCGTTTTGCGTGTTTATTTGCACTTTTTTATTTTCATTATCTTTGTCGATATTCTATTATCGTACAAAATTAAAATTTATGTTATGTTTACTAAAATGATAATGAAAAATCTGAGGTTATTAAAAGGAATAGATACTCAATGATTATGTTTACCAACGTTTCTCCACTATAAATTTTATGGTTCATTTACTTTGCATCACAACATCACAATAGACTACCATAGCTACGTTTTTCCTTTTTCTTATTTTTCCGCTGCAAATAGCATGTTCATTGCATTTGTTCGTTAGTTTCCTTGAAGCGGATATCAAAATTTTTGTGACCCCTTACGCCTATTTATGTGTTTTCTTAATAAACATATTAAACATTCTGAGATTTATATGATTGTTCCAAGCTTCAAATATATATGTATATATATTATGTTGAATATTGTTGAGTGCAGTCTTATTTTATTAGTTGTATAATGTTTTGTTAGAAATTTTCTTGCAAAAGTATCTTTGTTGTTTATAGCTTAAGATTGAAATTCATCTTGTAATTCTATATTCGCTATAATCACTGCTAAAACAATATATGTAAACATATATGGATATGTATAATACATGGTGAATATCAAGCATGATAATCGAGATAGTTGAAGAAGTTGTGATTAAAAATAAAAGCATAAAATAGTATTGGTTTACAAAAGTTTTTGTTTTAATATTATTAATGTTAACATAACTATTTCATTCATTGTTTGAATGAGATTTTTGCCTTAGATAGAATGGTTTAAGGGTACTATATAAGATAAAAATTAATGAAAAAAATAACAAATATCATTTTTTTTTTATTACTCAAACTCAATTAGTTGATTTATTTAAATCTAATCTTCAAGTCTACTATTTAGATAAAAGAGAAAAACATAACGTTTAACAAGATTGTAAAAGAAAACATCTATTTGTATAAAGTCACGGACATGTCATGGTTTTATTCGCTGTGAGCTTCGTTAGCAGATTCATGGAGAAGCCATTCTCGAATCATTCGGAGGCTGCCAAAAGAATTTTAAGGTACGTGAAAGGGAAATTGGATTATGGCATATATTATGAAGCTAACGTTCCCATCAAATTTGTTGGCTATACAGATAGTGACTTGGGAGGAAGCTGTGATGATTCTCGAAGTACATCTGGCTATGTGTTTAATCTTGGAGGTGGAATTGTTTCATGGAGTTCAAAGAAACAACCAATTGTGGTACTTTCCACCACCGAATCGGAGTACATAGCGGCATCTTTGGCTGGGAGTCAAATTGTGTGGCTTAGAGGAATCCTTGAGAGTTTGAGCTTCAAGGAGCATGGTCATACAACATTGTTCTGTGACAATAAATCGACTATCTCTATTTCCAAAGATCCGGTCTTTCATGGAAGATCAAAACATATCTGTCTTAGTTTCACTTCTTAGGGGATCTTGTTAATGAAGGTGAAATTGACATTACATATTGCCCAAGCGAAGTGCAGTTGGCCGATATCTTCCCCAAACCGCTTGGTGGGCCCGATTTCTCAAGAAATGTTGCTGCTTTGGGAGTCAAGAGCAAATTCAATTTACCGGAGGCATTTGATGGAAAATTAAATTGAATTTGAATTAATGGTAATTGAATTAGTTGTGAAAATAATGTTGAAGATAATAGAACTTGGAAAATAATTAATAATAATGTTGAAGATTTCTGGATTGTGTGTATATTCCTGCAAAGAGATTTCTACATTCCAGAAAATAAATTTCAGTTGGTGAATGGAATTAATTTCTATGAATTATGCGTGCAGGTGTCCTCTACTAAGCACCCTTTCACTTATGAAGTACTTTTTCAATTCATGCAGATACCTATTAACATAGACACACCTTTTAAATTAATCTTTTGTGAAGACTGTAACTATATATATATATATATTACTCCATATATAATTAGATTCTATGTATATATATACGTATACCCAAATTGTAAATAATATATTTTTTTCTATTTTCAAGCTTTCAGGCACAAATGACGGCAATGAGACATTTAATTCATTTCCATATCCATTTTGTGCAATTGATATTTCATATTAGATCCGTTAAACTAAAACCATATAGACACATATACATTAATATGCTAAAATTCCAATATTACATAAGGAAACCACAAGAATAACTCAATTAACAACAGAAACAACACTGATCAGTTGTGGCGTCATCTTAGTTCATGGGATTCCTCCAATACAACCCTAGCAATTTGCTATAAATAACAAATACTACTCTAACAATTTGTTACGGAATGCTGTAGAAAATATTTATCGCAAAAAAAGTTTGTTACGCATTTTGTCATAATTTTATGTCACAAAATTTTGCTATGAAATATCGTAGCAAATAGTTATAACAAATAAGATGCTATAAAATAAAGTGTGTCACAGTTTCTGTAGTTGATTTGTGTTTGCTATGCCTAGAATCATTTTGCTACAGAAATATACCGTAGCAAAAATTGATTTTTTTTTGTATTGCATCTCTTTTTGTCTTCTTGCTTCATCCTTGTCGCATTTCAGTTTCGGCCATTTTTCACAAAAAAAAAAAAAAAAAACTGCATTTATAGTTAACGAGTGCACGTACGAGGAAAAGGAAAAAAGAAAACCTAAAAAAACTAAAGCATATATCAAATGCATAATTAAGGTATAACAATCCGGATATATTTGACAAATAATGTGATTAAATATCTCCTCTATAAGTAAATAATCTTCCAGGAAAATTAGTATTTTGTGCTAGTTCTACAACATGTCGGCTCCTTTACATGGTATAGCAATGTCAAAATACTACTCCCTCCGTCCCACATACCATGTCCACGTTGCCGTTTCTGTCCATCCCACATACCGTGTCACTTCCGTTTTTTGGAAAATGATTACACACTTTAATCTCATTTTAAACTTTTTAATTTTTTAAAAAAATTTTAATTAAACTAATCAGTTATCTTAATCTTAATTTATAATTATTTATATTATCGGATAATTATTTACTAATTATACCCCTTCTAAAATACCGTGTCTACAGTGTAGCAGACACGGTATGTGGGACGGAGGTAGTATTTATTTTCTTCCCACCTATGGTTTCATTTACAACAAATGAAGATAAAAAAACACCAACATGCACTAAAATGACTACTTTACACCTTAATTTTTTGTGTGGTGGTTGTTTTCCGGATATATGAACTATCTATGTTGTATAAATGTACAATCCATTCTCGTGTTGTAATAGATTACAATGTGAACATACATGTATTTACACGTATGAGAGCACATGCATGTGCACACTACACTTATAAATAGCGAGATAGTACTTGGGAATTTAATGTTAAATTGCACTTTATTGTCATAGAATTATGCAATGTATTTGAAATACTTGAGGCATGGCTACGTCTTATCTCTTCAAAAGTTCAAACTGCAAGTTTTTTTGCCAACTCTGCAAAGGTGTCAATCAAATTTGTACGATTTTTATATAATGGATCCGGATCAAGGACTGCCAGTTTTCTTAAAACAAAAGATTTATGTATTTTTATCAACAACTTTAACGGATTCTTGTGATAATTTCTTGCAAGTAATATACATGGTGAGTTAATCATTGTCATCCTTTTACCAAACATAAATTATTAATGACAACTAATTTAAAAATATATATATAGTGGATAGTAGGAAAGTTTATTTGAGCGTTTAGTGCAGTGTTAATTAATGTATTTGAAGATTTTCATTGTTTACCTATGTAATTTAATTTCATTATAATTGTGGAGTAGTATTATGTGATGCACAAATTTGAAAGACAATAAAAAGCAAATAACCAAAATTTTAGTAACTGAAATGTACTCTGATATTTTCCAATTATACTTCTAAGCTACTTTGGAAGATTACTAACAATGGTTAAAAGTTTGATCCAGGTCACAGATTTGAAAATTGCCGTAAAAATGGTGGACGGAGTTTACAAGTAACAAAGTTTCTCCATAATATATATTTTTTTAAAAATATAAAAAATAGTTACGAAACCAAGGGGCATTCATTATTTGAGATTCTATTCTATTATATTAGATTTTATAAAATTTATAGATTTATGTGAATTTATAATATCCACAAAGTCTATATAGA